GCCGGCGCCCTCGCCGCCGCTCCCAGCCCCGTCCCGCGGCACGGCGAGCCTCCGGGCTCAGTTCTGCGGGCCCCTGCTCGGTCCTGCTCCTGGGAGCTGTCCAGCACCGCTCCCCGCCCGCCGGCCGCTCCCCGACTCCCTGCTTGGCTCGGAGGTGCAGCCACTAGGCACTCCCGTCATGCTGCTCGCCGTTGGGGGTGCGGGGCGGGGAGACACGACCGGTGGGAGACAAATGAAAAGAAGCGGGGAGCCGGGGAGGAGCCCTGGGAATGAGGAGTTAAGTGACAACGGGCACTGGTGGCCATTGCGAGAGGGGGCTTCACTCCGACTTTCGCAGGGAAAGCAATAACAACTGGGCTGAAGGGCAGGAGGTAGGATGTAACTTAGAGTGCTGACAAGAGCAAGACTTATGGAAACCTTCACCTCAGGGCCCTGGGCCTGGACTGTGGGGAGTAAAGGCCCAAGTCTCCTTTCCTTGAGGCCCCGTATGCCTGCTCAGCCACACGGGAGGTACCTATAGATGCTTGTCTGTTTTGGAGCTAAATAAGCTAATGGACCTGGGCTGGACAGGGGACCTTAAACTGCCTCCAGCTTAGCAGGACAATATCAGACTATGATCACCTGTGGCCTTTACTAGGCCCCAGGAGGGAAACTCAGGCTGTGCACACATACATAACAATTAAAATGTTTCAAACACTCTTGAAACAGGTCAAAAGCTAGCCATAGACACATATCCTCTGAAACAGTCTAGAAGTGGCTGAAACCCTCCAAAACAGCACTTCCACACAATAAGAGCTTTGGGGGAGTGTTTCACTTGTGGTTACACTGGCATGGGGACAGAGGGAGAGTGGGTGGACAGCCTGACTGCTCTTCAGCTGCTGGGTCCCACTCTAGGTACAGCCAGGTCCTCACTGGGACCCGACACACTCTGCTGGGATCCGCACCCTGGCCAGACCTGGAGCTGAAGCAACTGGATGCTTACATCTGTGTTTAAACACTGCATACGCTTTGTACGGTCATTCTTGCCCTCCTTTTCGTGAATCTGCATGTAGGACTGTCACCCTGTCCCTTGTTGTGATACACATGCCATAGAGAGAAAAACTCTCTGAGGAAGGAACTATCCTTTTACAGCATGTGAGAAGGGTTTTTGCACATCCTGGGCTGTTAGAAAAATTGCACATAATAAAGAACAGACCAGTTAATCCTCTGGCCCCTGAGGGGGCATTTGTAGCAGGGTAAACTGTTATGGAACTGGACCTGAATCAAAGAAGTAGCCCCTTGGGCATGGCCAAATGCACCACTTCCAAGCGTTGCTCAGTGGGCAGCAGCAGGGGGGTTGCTGTTCTGCCCAGGGGGCCAGGAAGGGCACGCATCCCAGCATGCCCTGCAGTGGTCCAGTCCCCAGCACTTCCCAGGGATTCCCCAGCACAGAGGAAAGTGCTGACTGACTAACTGGAGGAGGGTCCTAACCCCATCCTTACAGTAGGAGCATCTGGCCATCTCCTGCTCCAGGCTTCTTGTCAGTTTTGCTGGGAGCCCTGAGACTGCAGAAGGGAGTCATACCACCTCCTCACCTGGCAGATCCTGGTCACCCAGCATTGGGAGCTACTGACACAGCTGCACTGGTCAAGGCACAGGATGGGGTACACTGTGCTGCAGACAACTTGGCTGTGACCACCTGCAATCTCTATGATCCAGGGCATTTCTCAGGGCATACAGGTGAACACATGGCTGAGGACACAGAAAGGCGCCTTGTTGATGATCTCCAGGTCTTTTTCTTTACTAACACATCCCTGTCTGATATGGTAGAGGCTGTGTGGCAAATGAGTCAGGTGCAGTGGGAACCATATGCCAGAGGTTCTAGTCTGGCGATACAAGCAGAGCCCAGTTGCTGGAGGTCTGTCTGGATATGAGTGAGCACTATGTTCCCAGCTTCATCCTCTCCACCTGTGTCCTGCAAAACATTTGAGACCAAGAGGAAGTCCATTCCTGAAGCCTGGGCAGGGAAAGCAGAGCATCAGCTGGGCCAATCCAGAGCCTTGGAGGCCACGGGGCCTGGAGAGGGCAAGCACAGGACCATGTCTGGGAGTGACACCCTGACAGACCACTCCAGGATGAGGGGTGTTGCTGGGGGGTAGTGGCAGGGGCAGATGGGGGCTTTGGAGAGAAGGTGATTTCTTACCCATTAAACTCTACCAATCAAAACATAACTTGACTGTGGTCTATGCCAGTGCAGCTAGGGGGAGGGAAGGAGTGTGGGCTCTGCCCCTTATCCTTCCCACTGGGGCACACCTCTGGGACACTGAAGGAGGGAGGTGGGGGTGGCATGTCTGAGTCCCTTGCAGAGAACAGGCTTCAGGTAGTGCTGCCCACCCAGGCATAGGAGCTGAGTGACCCTGAGTGCATGATTTCCCCAACCTCTTGGGAACTGGAGTGGAGAGTGATGGTGGCTTGGTGGAAGGATTGCCAGTGCCTATGAATACAGGTGGAGGTCTCTGCTGCTGTTGGCTCCCATGTGGGCTACAACATAGTCATGGTTCCTGGTGGTAGATGCCCTGCTTGGGCCCAAGTCCCACCACATACCCCAAGGGGTGGAGAAAAGATATGGGTTTAGGCATAGGGGACACAGAGTAGCATGGGGCCAGGACTGTTGGACCATGACTCTGGAGAGCACCCAGGATGCATTTTGTCTACAGAGGCAGTGCAGCCAGAACGCAGCCTTAGAGCTATCATTGCAGCCACACACCCTCCAGCATTGCCTCTGGTGCCTGCTTGGCAGTATCTATCACCTCGCTGAGGGGCTTTTCCTGGCCAGGCACATGGCAGAGCATCTTGACTAGGACTAGCATGCATGCAATTGTGCAGGTCAATCACCTAAGCCAGTTGAAATGGGACCTTCTTACTTGTACTGAAAGGAGATGGTTGATGGGTATCAAGGGAAGACTTGTGGTATCATGCTTGGTATCCAATCCCATCAAGTGTAAAACCTTTATTGTTGAAAGTTGCAAGGGTACTTCTTCAGCCCCACTGCTACAGATTTGGCTGTGAGAATAAATCAAATTGCTTTTATTTACTGGTTTGGTCATCCAAATTACAGATGACAGAGGTGAAAATGCCATGATACACAAATCCAAAGGTCCCCTGAAAAGACGCATCATTCCTTGAATCATCCAATCACAGAGTAACACACAAACAGCTAGTTGTTTTAAAAAAGTAGTTACACTGAACCAAACTGGATTCCAGTGATGTCTGGGTAGTCTGAACAAGAACTGTAGGCAAACATCATTTGTATGAAATGGGAGGTCTTCTGTCATGAAACCCTTTTATCTCTGATGTGATATTTATATCTTGCAGCACAAAGATAAAACAGGAGAGTTTCTCAAACTATAGAAATGGATAGTCCCCAAGATAAGGAGCAATCAAGTCGTTTCCAGAAATTGTTTAAGTAGTAAACATGATTAGAAAAGATCAGGTGACTTGTGTAATGCAAGGAGTTCTAACTGGATAAAAAGAGGAATGTAAGTAAAATACAGGGCATATATGTAAATATTCAAAGGATATAATTAAGTAATATTGCCGTACCTTGCATGAGAAGAGGTACCATTGAGCAATGCAGACCACTCTGGGGCCATGGCACTGCCTCCTTTCAGTGGTGTTGGAAATAACCTATTCCTATCCCAGGACTGGGTAATTAGCAGGATCCATTTGCTACACAAGTGTAACCAACTTTGTAGCCAGAAGGTGATAATGAAATGCACTGTCCTAAAATCCTATTAAAGGAAGCTCTTTCAATTAAGGAAGCTTGCAAATTTCATTTCAGCCAAGTCATTCACTTAACAGATGGTGTCTCAAGGTGTACAAGGTCCATACAAACATTGTCACCCTCCTACATCCAAAGATCAAGACTTACTGTGTGGGAACTAGGAAGGGTGAGAAGCTATAGATACTAGCTACATGTCTATGGTATTCTGTGAAACACTCAGATGGAGGAAAAGTTTCCTTCTAGACTGAAGTGGAAGACTATTTAATTGGTTTAAGAAGAGGAAGAAGGTTTAAGAAAAAGGTATTGACCAAGGAAATGATTCAGAACATTTCCACCTTTCTAGCTAACTTTCAAATTGAGAATGTGTAAAATGAGACTGGCTCCCCTGTTCCACTTCAGGTGATGGATGCTATTCAACTCCAGAGTCTTTGCTTTAGCCAGGAAATGTGTTTGGGACTGGGAAAAAAACTAAGAAATCAACAGATCATGTGAACAGTC